TAGGAATCATTTCAGATACGGCCGATGTCTCCTGAAGAGCCGTCTATTGCTCTCAGTGTACTCAGCATTAAATTTACTAAACCAGATGGCAACCACGAAACACGGGAAGTCCGACACTATCAGTGGTTGGATTGGCCTGATCGGGGTGTGCCACCATGTCGTCTCACCAGTATGGTACGTCATCAGTATGAGCTGAAGTTGTTACTTCTCAAGGGTAACGGTTGAACTTGCAGGAACTTTTGTCACGGATACGTGGAACCAAAAAGCCAATAATTGTGCACTGCTCAGCAGGAATCGGACGGACAGGAACAATTGTCGCTATTGAGTATATTTTAGGTAGGAACGCTTTGTCAGAAACGATCCGAAAACTTCACGAAAATAGTTTCAGAACGGATGCAAGCAGGAGTTGAATGTGCAAATATGTGTGACTTATTGAAAGAGCTTCGACATTTCCGGGCATTCTCCATACAAAACGACTTGGTACGTCTGAAAGAATCTTCTCCATCGGTCACACAAAAAAACGAGACAAACAGACTGCATTAAAAGCATGCGGCACTTATTCCACAATAGCAGCAACCTCTATCTCATACCTTTAGCTATTGACCAAAATCTAGCGTAACTTTAGAGACAAACTGTACGATTACTGAGTAATGGAGTCTCCTCATGTGCAGCCTAGGCAGGTCCGCGCTTATACTAGCACCCTTAGAGGCACAAGGCACGCTAGCTTAGAACTCGGCCTAAAATGGTGGGAAGGATGCTACGCAGTGGGAAAATGGCGAAAAATGAAGTGAAACTATTAACAACCTCAAAAAAGCCTTTGCTCTTCACGACCCACAGCACCGCATTCACTTCATATCAATCTCCTCGTCTCATGTTGTACAAATGAAGCGATATGAGGCATCAGCTAAGGCACATTTGTGGACGGGCAGGCGCGGTGAATGTCCGAGTCGGTATGTTGCAGCTTGATAGGGCTATTCATGAGTTTCCAAAAGGTCCATACACAAGCGAGTTTCAGGATCAGGAAGGGGTGTAGTACTTGCGAGTAGCGGCTAGTAGGTAAGGGACGCGTTTGCAAACAGAGCTACGTACGCGGACTCGCGCTAGAACCCAGTCATCTCACTGCCGCGTGCCGACTCTCTATCTAACTGCGCCTAAGCCCATTAGCTACGAAATGCATAAATGCCGCGATGTCTTGGAAGTAGCGTGTACACCCGGGGAGACGGACAAGACAATCGTTATTCGTCGCGTCGTCGCGCGCGGTGTATCGTACGGCGACGCGAGGCAATGTGTTGATGTGCATTCGTGTCGATAAGGCAGTGAAACACATTTGAATTCAAATGTTACAAAATCCCATGAAGTGATTTGGAATTTCCTCTTCCCGTCGACTCTCAGATTCAAACGGGTAGACAGAACAACCCTTCCACACGGTGTCGTTCGCCACGCCTACCAGCGTGCAAAATTGACTGTTTTGTCACATACCCATACACCCATAAGGGGCACTCGGTACCTTAGCCAAGGCTCAGACCTTAACTCTCAAAGACAAGCCTTACACTCACCTCCGAGGATGATTTGTCATGTGTGAGGCTAATGGGTCCGCAGCTGGAGTAGCATGCCACTTTCACCGTCCAATAGTGAACGAGCTATAGAGTAGTGGAGCCCGAGTGCCGTCCCTCGCCCGCGCTATCGTCAAGGTGCACCATTTGAGTCGGCACCAAGTTCCCGCAGCGAAACACGTACTCGGTAGAGAACATCAGAAGTAAGGGGGCGCAGACAAGTTCTGAGTAGCGTGTTTGGATATGCTCGAGAATGTGGCTGGTCGTGAACGGCTTGCGCGGAGTATGGAGACGACACCCTGGTATCAGTACCCTACACCCCGTTTCCGTGCACTTTTTACTAGTAAAGTGGTACGCTACTGCGGCGCTGGGCCCATTCTTCCCACAGTCCATGCTTACAGATAGTAAAAGCAGGAAAGCAACAACAAAGCTGCAGGAGGTCCAAATTACATTTTGTGTAATCACTTTGCACAATCAGTTGATCATCATCAAGTGATCTTTTTCATGCAATATCTCTATGTCATCCGCGTCATGTGGGTCTGTTACTTTCTTGAAAAAACACAAAGTCAGGTGTGTATCATCAAAAATCCTTTTGTAGGGATCGTGGTGAATGTGCACGCCATAGACTGTTTCTTGGGACTCTTCACTTCGATGGTCGCAGGATCAGAAAATTAGATGCCTAAAGAACGCGTGTAGTGATGGGTCCATACAAAGGAGGAAGTGAGCGGGTTCAGCACCTAAATCACGTAGCGTGCAAAAGTGCGCTAAGGCTGGAATGTAGTGAATACCGAGTTTCCATCGCAAACAGCATGAACTGGCAAGCTTTCTATCGCAGCCAAGTGTAGAGAACAACTGCTCTCTGATCAAAGGGGGAGGCGAAGGTAAGAAGCTTTGCGAGTTGGCGTTGATAAGGCGTATAGCTGCTAGGTGCGCGCTCTTTCCTGCAGGTGGCACCCTCAAATGGCACTTCAGCGGTGACCCTTCAGCCTCCTTTTCGCGCACTTTCGAGTGACGAAAGTGGCACATTTTCACGGACCCGTTCGTCTCGCAGAGACCAGGACCCCATGACTTGGAGGACGGCGGCCGTTTTTACTTGACCTAGGAGATATGCGACGGTAGGATCGTCAGGCGCTCAATAAACTGCTACAGTACCTTGGCAATGTAGTGTGCTGGTCTACCGCTTATTACTTCATTGAATCAATACTACTCAGAGGTGGTGACGTCCGTTCCTCCAAGTGGTGCCACCGGGACCTGCTCGCTTTTGCGGGCTGAGCAGAACGCGGACGAACACGAATGCAGGCGACAGGCCTTCGTGACGGGCCGGCTTACGAACACCCCATGTCACATCATCATGTTTAACTATGCCTTATGAAATTCGAGATAATGCTACGGCGTCCGCGGGAGCCGACGCGCACTCGCAAGGCCCGGCGACGTGTGTGAAAAATATGCGAGGGTCCTCGATGCAAGGACGGCATCGGGGGGCAACCAGGCTAGTCCAAAAGACGTGCAGTGTGTCAAAGGCTCGTATTGCGACGCTGAACGTGGGGACGCTGACTGGACGCTCGTACGAGTTAGCAGAAGTCCTAGAGCGTAGAAAGATCGACCTCTGTGCCGTGCAAGAAACGAGATGGGCTGGTTGCAAGTCGAAAGAGTTAGGTCTCGGCTTCAAAGCCGTTCTTTGTGGCGGGCCGAAAACTACAAGTGGTGTGGCCGTGATCGTGTCTCAGCGATTCCGCGATTCCATCATGAGCGTAGTTCGTTTCGACGACCGTTTGATGAAGATTGTTGTCGCTATTGAACAACGACTGTACCACTTCTTCTCGCATATGCCCCACAAACTGGATGCTCTGAGCAGTCCAAGGACGAGTTCTGGGCTCTGCTGGACGAGAAGACGGCTGAAGTGCCACCAAAAGACGGTATCATTGTAGCCGGCGATTTGAACGGACACGTGGGCGCTGCAAAAGACGGCTATGCTTGTCATGGCGGATTCGGCTACGGTTCACGGAACGCCGATGGTGAGCGAGTCCTTGAGTATGCAGAGTCGCATAACCTCGTCATTCTGAACACAAGATTCCGTAAACGTGACTCCCATCTCATCACGTTCTACAGCGGGAGTACTAAGACACAAATAGACTTCGTACTCATCAGGCATGGCGACCAAGGACTCGTGACAGACGCTAAGGTAGTACCGTATGAAACGGTTGCCACGCAGCACCGCCCACTGATCTGCACGCTCAGACTCGTAGCTCCCAGGCGGAGACAGGTAGCTGAACGAAGCGGTCCTGAAAGAATCAAGTGGTGGCGGCTGAAAGAGCGGGAGGCAGCTGTGATTTCTCGTATTCGACTACCTGAAGTCACAACTGTTCAGAAAGACCTGGAACGAAGCCGTTAATTCCATAATCCAGGCCGCCCGCTCCGAACTCGGCACAACGAAGCCTGGACGGCGGAGGATTGACAAAGACGCGTGGCTCTGGACGTGATGTCAAAGCGAAGGTTCGAGAAAAGAAGAGGCTCTATCACGCGTTTCTCGAGCAGAAGTCGGCTGACAACTGGCGGCAGTATCGGGAAGCGAGGAATGTGGCAAAGACGGCCGTGGCTGCTGCGAAGGCCGCTCACTTCGATGATATCAGCAAGAAGCTGGAGACGCGCGACGGTGAGCGGTACCTGTACGGACTTGCCAAGTCTCGTCATCGCCAAACCGAAGACATTGAGAAGTTCTTTGGCATAAGTGATGAGAATGGGCAACTTCTGATGGACCGAGAAGGGTATATTGCAACGATGGCGTGAATACTTCGAGAGCATTTCAACCGTTGGAATTCCCAATTCGCGCGATACCCATCGCCCCATCCCGCTATACCCTGTACCGCACCAACATATGGCCCCGTTCAGAGGATTACCGTACAGGAAACCGAAGCTGCTCTGAGGAAGATGAAGGCCGGCAAAGCAACAGGCCCCGACGACATCGCAGCTGATTTGTGGAAGTCACAACGCTGGTTTTCTGCGGGGTTGGTTGACGAAACTCTTCAACCAGATCGTCGAAGAGAAGAAGGTGCCTAAGGACTGGCAGCAGAGCGTGACGATCCCGATTTGGAAGAAGAAGGGCAACCCGGCAGAGTGCTCGAACTACCGTCCAATTCGCCTTCTCTCGCACACTATGAAAATCTTCGAGCGAATTGTTGACGCCCGTGTTCGTGATATCGTCCAGCTTTCCACCAACCAGTGTGGCTTCGTGGCGGGTTGTAGCACCGTCGACGCCATACATGCCGCTCGTCTATTGCTGGAGAAACACCGTGAGAAGCGAAAGCCCGTGCATGTAGCCTTCCTAGACTTGGAGAAGGCCTTCGATCGTGTGCCACGTGACGTTATATGGTACGCTTTGAGGCGGCATGGCGTGCCCGAAGAGCTAATCGAGTGGGTGCGCATCCTTTACTCATGCCCAGGGAGCCAAGTTCGCTCACCAGCGGGTGTTTCAATGGAGTTCCCCATCACCGTCGGGGTACATCAAGGCTCTGCGCTCTCCCCACTTCTTTTCGTTGCCGTCATGGATGCCATATCACAAGATCTTCAGAAGGAAGTGCCTTGGACCCTGCTTTACGCTGATGATGTGATGCTTGCTTGTGAAGATAAGAGCGCACTGGAACAGCAGGTGCAAGCTTGGGCCGAGCGTCTGGCGAGGTTTGGACTCAGGTTGAACGTCAACAAGACCGAGTACCTGACCACCGACCCAAATGAGCAGGGCTCCATTAAAATCGATGACACGGTGCTCAAGCGCACGGAAACATTCAAGTATCTCGGATCAGCACTTGCGTCCGATGGCAGTCTGAACTCGGAAGTGAGCGCACGAGTGAGTGCGGCATGGTCTAAGTGGGCGATCCATCGGTCTGGACCTTTGCGACAACTAGCGATATGCCACGTGCGCCTCAAATCCAAAAATCTATCGTACTGTCGTCCGACCTGTCGCGTTATATGGTGCCGAGTGCTGGCCCGCGA